AGGCTGTGTGAGAGGGGTGTGTCACAGGGGATTGTACAGTGTTGGTGAGGTTGGGGGGCATGTCAGGGGTTTGGGCTGCCTGGTGGTGACGTAGGGGGTGTTTCACAGCAGTTAAACACTTCATTCCCACCCCCCCCAAGCCCCGGCTGCTGTGCAGCAGCCCAAAGCAGCAGCTGGACAGACGAGCAGAGCAGGAGCCCCTGAAGAGCAACAAGGAGAATGTGAGTGAGACATGGCTCTGGGCCCCGAGGATCCAAGCAGCTGCTGCAGACGCTCTGACTCACATGCAGAGTCATGTAACCAAAGTAACTGTGCTGGATACAGGAGCCACCAGATGGTGATACAGACTAGATTTTGTGTATTTAACCCTGTTAAAAAGTGCCGTGTCTGCAGTTGTCAGAATGCTGCCCCCCCCCGCTCTTCTCGCTGCTGTTCTAGCTGTACGTCTCTTTTCCATTTATAATTTCCTTTGGATGACCTTAAGTTCTCTGCATTTCATCCCTGGAGTCATTATTTTGATTCAGTTACTGAAGAGTATAATTTACATATGTATTCGCCATATATACATACACACACACATAAATAGTTCATCCTCTTGAGAATGCGAAGGATGACTCATGTTTCTTATTTATGTTTCTTTGAGAGTATCGTCACTAAGAGGGCAAACCGTGAGGTAGCCCCGCCCAGGAGAAGACCGGCCCTCCCTAGGCGTAGTGAGGGAGTTATTCTCCATTGGTGCGCCGGACTACTTATAGACTTGTGTATTAGTCTTAGTAGGGCTGTGACAAAAGCTTCCCTTTCATTACTGTACGCTACTGTCCAAACACGGCGTTCATTCAGTTAAGAGTGGATCGCCTGGTTTCCATGGTGACCTGGGTGTTTGCGTAGGGGTCCTGTTTATCTGGCTGCAGGTCTCCTGTTTTGTCATACGTGGCGTGAGTTTATGGGTTCTTTGAGCAAGACGGGGTTTTGTTTACGCGCGGGAATCTGATCCTCAGGTGGCCAGTTGGGGGCAGCGCAGTCGAGGCGAAGATGCATTCCAGGCGGCAGACTCGTTCCCGCCAGGCGGTGCTGAGCCCTTTGCCCTCGGCAGCCCCATCTCCCCGGCCCCCGCCCACCTCCCGGTGGACTTCCTGGGCGACAGAGATGCCAGCGACTTCATGGAGGCCTTTGCGGAGCAGGAGGAGGTAGCCAGGGCTGTTCTGGGGGTGGGAACCGCTCTGTCCCTATCTGGGCCGCTACACCACGTACTCAGAGAGAGCGGCTTTGTTCGGCCGAGCCGCTGTTCTGTCTGCGCTCTTTCTGTGACATCACTCTGGAGGTCGAGTGCCCTCCCTCTCATCTGCCGTGCTATTTACGGGAAGCAGGTCGGCACAGACGGAACGGCACAATCCGGTGTTCAGCGTGAGCCTATTCATCCTCCTTTCCTTCCCCTTTCTTTCTCGGTACTCGTCTCGTTCCTGTTATTATGTGATCGTCTTGTTTTCCCGTTGCCTCTTTCCCGTCTGCTCACCGCTACTGTTCTTTAAATCCCCCTCCCTCGCCACAGAGTTCAGTTGCGGTCCACATGTCCTCCAGCATGGCCCAGCTGTTGTCCGACCCCCTGATGAATCAGGAAGTGGATTTCTCCTCCGTGAGTGTGCCGTGTGCAGACACGTGCTGAAATGCTCTGAATGAAAAATCTCCATGTGCAAGTATGATGTCCGTCCATTCCTTTTTGCATGAACTGTTTATCAAACGCAAGGGTTGCGTCTAAACTATCCGATGAACCACAAGGCATGAGAGAAAACTCAACAGGATCACAGTTCATCACAGGATACACACTCATGCAAACTCTATAAGCCAGTGTTTCCCAACCCAGTCCTCAGGAACCCTCAGACAGTGCACATTTTTGCTCCATCCCAGCTCCCCTATTCCAGGTATCCGCTATTCTTGATTGGCTGGGAGCTGGAAGGAAGCAAAAATGTGCACTGTCTGGAGGTCCCTGAAGACTGGGTTGGAAAACACTGCTATAGACTATTTGGAGACGCCAATCAACATAAATCGTATACGGAGTGGACAAAGTAACAAACGCATAGAGATGCATTTTCATTGAAGATCTTATAGGGCTTTAGATTCACAGCCACGTTTGTGTATCTTGGAATCATACAAGCCATGAACTGTGTGCATTTTTTTTTTAAAAACTAGCTACTGTCATTGGACTAGTTAGGTGGGGGATGAAGGATGAGGAAATGCGCTTCTCACTCTGTATTCAGATCTAATCATTGGGGAGGCCGTGGAAGGGATTTATTAATCTACTCTTGAATTTATTTAGTGGTGCATATGAGGATTATATTATGCTGGAATATGGGGAGGACGTGTTAAGGGTGATGTGGGCTGGTCGTGTGAAATGGCCTCATATTCCTCGGCCATGCACAGCATGTCATTGGGCCTGATGGCTCCCAGGAGATGCCCCCCCCCCTACCGACAGAAATTGTTGGTTGGAGGTATATTTTTACTTTCTCAAACATAAACCCATTTGGATGTAGAAAGGGAGGGTATAAGATGACTCATCAGACCTTATTACTTTTCTCACTCATCAGGGATTCAACTTCTCTGTCCATTATACCAGGTTATGCGTCTTTGGGCACTGGACTCGGATAGAACTGGGTTGTAAATGGCAGCTGTGCCGGAAATGGCAGCTTTCTGCAGCTCGGAGACGTGCTGTTTCAGATCTGTACCTATTTTTGAAGCCCCTAATTTTATGTTTAACTCTCCTGTTAAGTGTAACTGCTGTCCCTTTTTACAGATGCAGTTTGTCGGCTTTTGGCGTATGCTGTCATGATTTTTGAGACCATTTCCTTTGACACCTTAAATAATCTGGTGTTTTTTTTTGTGGCCACCTGGCCTCTTTGGAACTCTTGCCTCATGTTGCTTTTAAAACTCACATATCAAAGTGCTGATTGTCTGACCCCTTATATCTGACATTCAGCGTGATATGGTTCAGCTTTGAGGGTGATTTAGTTGCTTCAAAGTGAAAGACTGTTTGCATGCAGTGTCTGTGTTATATTGCCCACCCTTTGCACCATGAGATGAAACCCACTGAGAAAACCCAAGAAGAATATGCAAACTCCATTAACACGAGGCTGGTACCAGAGCCAGACCCACGATCCCTTAATACCATAACAGCCACACCACAGAATTATCCCGGCATTAGCTGCTGTGTTAAACCTGTAACATGGTTCTGACTTTGAACGTACCTCCCATAACCTTCTGTTCCTGTGGGATACCTCTGCTTACGATGGGCTTCTTTGAGGTCCGAATGCGAGAGCAGTCCCACTGACTCCCATTTGTGTAATCAGGTTCCAATAAGTCGCCAAGGAGGTCGGCACCTCTTCCGCTCCCCTTCCATGCCCCTGCGACTCAACCGGGCAGTTCTGAAACGTCCCCCTGAGTCTCCTGCCTCCAACATACCTCTGAAGCGGCACCGGACGCTGCCCGGTTTCACCGAGGATGAAAAGGACGGCCAGGGACGTGACCAGGCGTCGGCAAACCGCAAGAGTCGGAGGGTGAGTGGGTGGGGTCCCATTAGGTCGACTCGCCGAGGTAGAGGTGTCGCTCTAGTGTTTTGAGGCCTGAACCAACACTGGTGTTAATCTCATCCTCCCCAGTGTCTCCTGAAGAAGACTCTGTCACTCTGTGAGGTGGCCAATCATTTAGGAGGAGACCGCGTCAATGCAGAACTCATCGGGGACTTCAGCAAGGTCTGACATGCCGTGAATTTGAACCAAAGATTAGTTGGCATGTATCGCTCTGTCTGAAGTATTTGAGGTGGGTATGCAGCACTGGGAGAAGACCAAAAGTGTATCTTCGGTGCCTCTTCTAGGTGTTTGCACTGCCTACAGTAACTGGAAGACACCAGGATTTGAAGTATATCACCGTTGAGACAGTAAGCATTATGCTCAGTCGTCATTCTCAAGCCGTTTCTGTGAAATGCGAAATGTCTAGACTCTAGAGGTAATTAACAGGTTTCTGTAGATCTTCTCCTCTTCCTGTCTCCAGATCAGAGTTTCACTGCCTTGGTGGTGTTTTCTCTCTGTCAGTAGTGCCTTGTGGTGACAGGCACCTCGGGAGATGTTCAGATAGCTGGCGAACATGGCGTTATGGCCGTGATTAATTCCGCAAAATTGACTGACTCATCATGCTTTTCAAGCACCTGTGACTCATTTAATGTCTTTTCCATTCTAATTGGTCCAGTCTGAGGTCCATCAAGAGGTTCACCAAGTGCCCTCAAGGCCAGGAACCTCAGGCTCCAGAACTGTCAAGTACCCAAGATTGAGTGTTGCTGAGGAAATGTCTGATCGGGGGGGGGGGCATGGGGGTGCAGTAGTTAGCACTGCTTCCTCACACGTCTAGACCCCGGATTCTCTGTCAGGGTTCCATGTGTGTGGAGTTTGCATGTTCTCCCTGTGTCGTCGTGGGGTTTCCTCTGGGTTCTCCGGTTTCCCCCCACAGTCCAAAAACAAACTGACACCGACTGGAGTTACCAAATTGCCCGTAGGTGTGCGTGTGTGAGTGAATGGTGTGTGAGTGAATGGTGTGTGAGTGAATGGTGTGTGAGTGAATGGTGTGTGAGTGTGCCTGATTAATGTGTCCGATTGTGGGGGATAGGGGGTTTTTATAGTGAATTTCATGGGTACTGTACTGAATAAATGAGTGTTGTGCATCACTCTTATGTACCAGAGCATGCTCTTGCTACGCAGCATTTGGAAAAGAATTCCGACTGGTATTAACTTGAATTTTCGGGTAGGAGCTGGCTGGAATTATGTGAGATTATTGCCCAGTGAGTGTTTTGCCAAAATGTGGATCTGCAGGACTTAGGTACGATCTGTTTGTACTTTGACCTTCTGCAGTTTAGTCCAAAGACTGAAATTACTTCTGAACCGGAGTTCTCGTTATCCACCCCCCCCCCCATGTAGATGTGTGCTCTCTTAAATGGCGACTTCAGCAGTCTGGTGGAGTCGTTTGTTGTGGTGGATTGCCGTTACCCCTACGAGTACGAAGGCGGCCATATTAAGGTGAGTCTCTTGCGGTTGTCTGAAGAGTCGTGGCGTTTCTGTGCGTCGCCTTATTTTTTTGGTATAACTGCACATCTGCGTCCTCAGGGAGCCCTGAACTTGCCCAATAGCGATGAAGCCGTAGAGTATCTCCTACAGCAGCGACTGCGCCCCCGCCACCCCGACAAACGGCTGGTGTTGGTGTTCCACTGCGAGTTCTCCTCCGAGAGGGCGCCCAGAACGTGAGGAGGCTACCGCCGTCCCAAAGCTTGTCCGGTTCTCTCACACTTCGCCTCCTAGCTCCTCTGACCCGCTCACACTCTGCCTTCCAGGTGCCGACTGCTGCGTAGGGACGACCGCAGCGTGAACGAGTACCCAGCGCTCTACTACCCTGAACTCTACATCCTCAAGGGTGGCTACAGGGACTTCTTCCACGCCTCCAAGGTGGGCGACAAAGGACAACAGTGCTGTAAATTCTATGCCAGCGACAAAATGCGTAGCTAACCTGAGACGCTCGTGGCTGGATCCAGCGGTTTCTGCTGCACTTGCGCTTTTGCTGTAAACGTGTGATTTTACTAAATAAACAACATAGCCAATAGATACTGGTGTTTGCTAAGGTGATGGATATCGACGTCCGCTAAGTAAAATTATTCGATGGGCGCCAACATCCACTAATTGGTCGTAACCGACGGATACCGGTGTTCACTAAGTGGTCACGGCCAATAGACTCCAACGTCCATTTAGTGGATGTTACAGATGGATACCAGTGTCCAGTAAGTGATAAAAGCCGACGGGACCCGACATCCGCTAATTGAAATTAGCCTATGGACACCAATGTCCGCTAATTGGTCGTAGCCGACAGATGCCGGCATCCATTGAACGTCATAGCCAAGTGGTCGTAGCTGAGACACTGGTGTCTACTAGGTGTTTGCAGACGGATATCGATGTCCGTTAAGTAATCATAGACAACGGGTACCAATTGTGAACGTAGGGAACAGACAGCAGCGTCGGCTAAGTTAGAGGCCGACAGGCAGCGACATCTGCTACGCGCTCATAGCCGCGTCTGCTACATGAACGAGGATCAGCTGAAAGAGCTCGTTGGCTTCCTTTCTCTCCCGTCCGCACAGGAGCACTGTGAACCCCAGGCGTACTGCCCCATGCACCATGAAGACCACCGAGACGAGCTGCTGCAGTTCCGCTCCCACGGCCGGGCGTCCGCCAAGGAGCGGCGCCGGCACCAGCATGCGACGCGGCTCATCAAGCTCTGAGCGGCTCGCCGCAGCCAGGCACCGCGTCTACAGCGGCCTCCTTCACCAGCCAGTCAAGACACTGCCTGCGTGGACTGGCTGCTGATGCAGCCCATCCATCCACGAGATGGTAGCCGGTGTGATCAGCGATCTTTGATCCTCAAATATGTCGTCACGTGACTCAGCTGAGAGGATGAATGAAGTGGAGCCCAAGGACCCAACTCTACTATATCAAAATCATGCAAGATTAACCAGATCTTAAGTCGACTATGAAACTGCCTGCTTTATTAATTTGAAATATGTCGGGGTTTTTTTGTGGTTCTGCACATAAAGCCGTGATTGTAATTGGGGCTAAGGGGTTGGGGTGCCCGCGGCTCACTGCCAACCACGCTCACGACGCCTTCTGACAGCACCGCCGGCGGCTCATTGTACACCATGACAGTCCCGATCCGGTTCTCTTTGACTGGTGTAAAGTCCCCTTCGTTATGACCACATGTCTCAGATGATCATAAAGCCCCACCAATCATCAGCCCCCGATGTCCGCTCTGCTCACCGTGCGCCGGGCACCACACAGGCTGTTCTTCACTGTCACATGGCCTCAGACACAACAATGGCACCTTCCTCTCCTTTAATGCCTATACGCATAGGTAATTACAGACGTATCCCAGTCTGTCAGCCTCCATCATGGTATCCTCAGATTTTCCATTGTGGTGATTTATCACCGTTTCACTACTGCTTGTCGGCTCTTTGCATTGTGCGTTTTTTTTTTTTCTTTCACCATTTTAGCGAGTTAGCGAGCCGCGGAAACTCGGGTGTGCGACAGTCACTTTTTTTTAACGTACAGCCCCGTGATGTATTGTGGGGTCTCTAGCGCTCGAAGGCAGTGTCATCGTTTACAATGAAAACAAAAGGAATTTTGCTTGAAAAGGTGTATTTCATGTGCTGCATTATGCATAAGCTTTTAAAAATAAAAGGTAAATTGTAATGCTGAGTTGTATGCATGTATTACTGGAAATGTGAATATGCAGATTTTGGGAATTTCTTGAGGAACAAATTCCTGTTTGCATAGTTAAAATATTTTACATTTTTCTGTTTTTTTTTTTTGTACTGGCTCAATTAAAAAAAAATGAATAAATTTAAAACAATGCATGTTTTAAATATCCCAAGGTCTACAAAAACTGGATTGTAGAGTTTAGTATCTGGTATGTAGACCTTTTTTCATCTTTGCCTGCTCCCACAGAACAATTAATTTAAGCGGCGTGGTGGACACAATAGTGCATCTGAGCTTCCGGAGCACGTGGGAGCCATGGTTGGGTGGCCCCCTGCAGAGGAGGGGGTGGCCCCCCGCGGAGGAGGAACGGCCCTGTGGCTCCACTGCATCAGGAAATGGAAGTATCCAGAATTTCACAGTAAGAGACCATTAAGAGCTTAGCTGACTGACTGACTGACTTAACACTTTTGATGCGATGACATCGCAATCCCCCTCAGTGTGTTTCTATGGCAACATAACATGCTCGGTCCTCCCAGTACCCAATTCCCATTCTGGCCAGACCTTTCCCACTACCCACATACCCTCAGTGAATATCCAGTCATCTTTTTTTTTTGGTTCCAAATCAATCTAGCCAGTTTAGTCATATCCTGGTCACATCTACTTCCTGTTGGTTTGTATTGTAAGGTCTATTGTGTTATGCCTGAAACCCTTTCACTGCATTTGCCCATGCCTAATTCAGAGCCAGTCGTAAAACAAAATCTAAAGGTCTTCTGGTATGTTCTCTGCTTAAGATGTCCTTGAAGTGCCATTCTCTGGTTCTTTGTCTTTTATGTTTTCCTGTGTGTGTGTGTGTGTGTGGGCTTCCTGTCGCAGACGTGAGCATTTCCAGCTGCACTGTAAGCCTGCCTTCATGCACCCAGCCAGTCACATTCGGCGGCGTCTTGAGCAGCTGGATTCTCGGGTTCTTTGTTTCTCGCCACAAGAGCCGGCGGTCCATCGCTGAGCAGAAGTGGGATTTCACAGGGCTATCATGCAATTCCAGCTGTGTTGAAAAGTGATAGGGTGGGAATTTCAGCGTCTAGGTCCCTGGAGGGAGGGGTGCCCACCTCCCTGAAAGACCCGGGTTTTTTCCTTATACGGCCCCAAGGAGCTGCATTTGTTCCAGTCTTGTAACTCCTGTCAACACTTAACTCAAACAGACTGTCTGGGAGGTCATGGTACAGAATGACGGGCTGATAGTGAGGCGCGAACAAGGGGCCAGAGAAGATGAAGCAGTTGTAGAGGCGACTGGCTATTTTTGTTGAGGGCACCAGACTGAGGATTTAAAGCACAAGTTTATAATGCTCTAGGCGTGACTTTAAGGTCTTCTGCTCGGATACGAGGTTCCAGTGAACGTATAAACACTGCAGATCTATTTCAATCCTGCCGTTTTCATAAACCTATAAAAAATAGGCTCCATTCCTTTTACTTGTGCACATTTAAAGGAGCAAATTGTTTTTTTGTTTTGTTTTTTTTTTAAAAATGGCGAGAACTGTGAGAAACAGCGCATCGCTTTCACAAGACGTTTCTTTCACAGAGTGGTGATGAGTCAGACTTTGCTAGTAAGTGGCTGCTGAAGACAGCTGATGTCTCCCCCTCTTGGGATACTGGGCTCCGGGGAGTAACAGTTAATGATAAGGGGGGAACTTTTCTCATCTTTTTTTTAGCCGTCTGCTGCGGTTATTTTTTGAGGAGAGAATCAAAATCCGCATTAAATCCATGATCAGTCGATCAACAAATCCCCAAAGCAAACAGGAAGTTAGCTGCCAAAGTGCCGGGCTCTCACCGAAAGCAGCCATATTTGTTTACGCTTTGTCGGCCAATAAGTACAGAGACACGAGAGTGTTTGCTCAGAAGGCAATGCTAAGCTAAGCACGGATAGAGTGTTTTTTTTATTACCGAACCTAATGTGAGACACTAGTAGTGGTAATGAAATGATATAGTGTTTTCATGCCTCCAGATCAGTCTGTGTCCCTGTGCACTCAGCCAATCTGCTGCCTCCGTCATGTTCTTATGTGCGGACTGGCGTCCCGTTCAGTATGTCCTCAGTTTCCGGGGTAAGCGGCTATGGATCCATGTGTGGATGGATGGATAGATAGTAAAAATTGCAATAATAATGCATCTTTTTTTCCGTGAGGCATCTTGTTTCCAAGCAACAGCACAGCTGGAAAGCGGCCGGGGGGGGGCGGGGGGGGGGGTAGCAGACTGCACCTGGACACCCCCTTCATGCTGGTGAATGGACGCCAGCGTTTCTAAGACCGCAAATGTCACATGACCTGTGTAAATCTCTTTTTATTTCATTTTGACATAGG